TAAAAGCATAGAAACCAAAATGATTGCTTAAACAAGATTCGACCACAGTTACACAAGTGACGAACTGAAGCTGTCATTTAAACACAGGCACAGGAACAGAGGTGTCTTCTATTCGTCTCGATTATAAGGAATCAAAACTCTGAGAACAATGCAAAGGATCCCTTGCTAACATGACTTTCTTTGAAGAACACATTGACTTGTGTAATAGAACAAATCTAAGCAAGGAAGGGATGGCCAAACCAATGAAATAGTGACTGTCTAACCAATAACTCTGGTATAATAGTACAGGCTTTGTTGAAACAGATAGCAAAAAGAAGGTTCAGTATGGCACTTACAGAGCGAAAGGGAAAGTCATCCACCTCAAGCATATGAACAATTTGCCCCATCTTTGGCCGCTTGATGGCATCCAAGTCAATGCAACGAAAACAAACAAGTAATGCCCTTTTCAGAGCTCTTGACGAGGGTTGAACTTCTATACGCCGGTCTAAAACCTCTTCTCCGCGGCGACTAGCAACCATTCCTTTGAACCAATCAACTAAGTTTGTCTGAAATAAGACAATTTAATTTTTGTTTGCCTTCATGTTTACACAGCAAGATAGAAAATTAGATATACAGGTTAAATGTGTATTTTCACCTCTCCAGCTGGTCTTGAATAGTCAATAGGACTCCTTCCTGTAATTATCTCCATAAGTAGAACTCCAAAACTATAAACATCGCTTCCCTCATTAAGCATCCCCGTACTTGCATACTCAGGAGAAACATACCTGCAGAAAATTGATTAGAATTCAGTTGTAAACATGCATAGAAACCAATTTCTTGCAACTGACACATTGTTATCACTTGATACATTGATGCTATTAGATATTGTTTTTATGGGAGAGAACCAACCCGAAAGTTCCCATTACACGTGTAGTCACATAACTTGCTTCAGATCCTAATAGCTTCGCCAAACCAAAATCTGATACTTTTGGATTCCATTTTTTATCAAGCAGAATGTTACTGGATTTTACATCACGGTGCACGACTTTAGGTTCCAATCCTTCATGCAAATATGCCAACCTGCATAAAGCAAAACACTTTTCAGATGCTTGAGTAAAACATAACTCTTCTAGTAATGCAGTTCTTGCCAGATGCTTGAGTAGTTTATTATGTTAATGCTGTACCCTTTTGCTGTCCCTATGGCAATCTTCATTCGGATATCCCATGTCAGAGGGCTGTAAGGCCCTAAATCACCATGCAGCCATTGCTCCAAATTGCCGTTGTCAACATATTCATATACAAGCATCCTAGAAACAGAGAGTATAAGTTTCAGCACAGAAATTAGACCACAAAA